TCCGTGTTTTATCGTGTTTTGATTTTAATACGAAACTAAAACTAAGTGAGTTTTCTTTTTTTTTCTGGCACCAAATTCGTGGACAGATTAATCATAAATATCTTGTATTCGTTTCCGTGTTCGGTAGTCTAAGGCCCCGACTGTCTGCTAGATTAAAACTGTTAGATCAGTAATTGTATAGTGTGGTAACTCCCATAAGGGAATTACAGATGTTTCTGTGTTTATAAGGTATGCAATCAGACTGCTGTGTGGGGCCGTCTTTCTGAAAAAAACTGACAACAAAACTAAAATAAGCATTCTTACTCTGGCAGTCTGCGTTAATCTTTTTTCAATTAAGCGCAGTTTGTTTAGAGGAATTCATAATAAGGCGTACAAAAAATTGGAATCAATCCATAAATGGTGATGGCAAGATGAAATCGAAAGAAATCACAGTAAAATTGATGGATCAATTATTACGTCGTGGCCATCTAAAATTAACGTTATTTTCTATTGATTTCGCGAAGCCATCTTTATTTCTTAGAATCATCAGTTAATTGATGATGAAGAACATATTTTGTGAAGATTGAGGTGGTATCTGATCTATGCTGTTTGTTATGAATTACTATCTAAAGAAGTTAAAGAACATCTTCCGTCCCTTATTTTGTTAATAAATGTATTCTGTATAATCAGCTTAAACAGAAAAACAAATGTACTGAATTTTGAATATTATTTTATTAGAAGCAACATTGGACGAATCCAAATGTCGAAAAGCCAAGCACGGGACTTCTAAGAGTACACTTCTTGAAAAATACTAAACATTAATATATTTCTCGTAAATTAAGAGTCGAAACGTTTATATTTCAACCATACATTCACGCATTGTTCTCAAATTTTGCTTACAATAAAATCTATCCGGACATTTTTGACTGAGTATAGCCATAAACTCTTCACTTTAACTTTTATTCTGACCACACGAATTTCAAGTCTCTTGTGTCAGGCTTGTCATCTGGTGTAAATGATTTTAAAACACGTCTTGTATATATATTATATATTTAGTACTTGATGGGATTTATAATAATGTATTAGATAAACCTATCAATCATTGAACAGTTTATAGAAGATCACCTGTATACAGAATCTTGGTGATCACGAGTGGTCTTCCCTCGGTCTTGTCTGGCTTCTAGTCTGAATATAATCAGAACATTTGATGGCGTTTCAATACGATGTTGTGTCATTTAATAGATATGTATTTAACAAATGATTTGTTGAACTGTAAATACAGACGATGACCCGGGGTGATAGCTACACAATTGGGGACGTTTTTTAAACACTAAGATGTAAAATCTTCTTTTTCTATTATTGGTGTAAATTCGAGTAAAAACGGTCTGCAACGTAAATTTTGTAAGGAGTAAAAAAAGGTATCTTTTATTTCAATGATTAAAATCACTCGGTGTTACCCAAAACGTGCTTCAAAATAAAAATAAAAAAAAACATTTTAGACTTCCTCAATTCTGAAGTTTTCTTCCTTGTTGCTGTGACCACTGGAAGCAGCTGTTTTCCGCGGGGCTTTTTGTTACCGGATTTGATTTTATATCCATGCACTAGCACGTGCATGTCAAAAACAAATCATATTAATTTTATCTTTATGAAAACTTACACGTTGAAAATGTTAGAGAAAATTATTATGAAGTGGGTGTTAAAAGTTAAAAAAAAAGAAGCTATTTCACAATAAAGAACCTTAATATTCAGTTCTTTCTGGGCAACTTTGTTTACTTGTGGGGTTTTAAATGCATAATTATTGTAATAATATTTTTAGGAAAAATTGCTATGTTCTCAATAAAATATATTCCAGTGGTGAATATTTAAGCTTTGTAATAAAACATAAGAAATGTATATGGGAACGTCACTATATATATTTTATTTTTAATGTCTGGAATGGGGATTCTATGATAAAGTGCGAAAAAAATAAAACCGATTAAAAAAATCCTAATTCAGCAGTCTTTTGATGTCCACAGATTAGCACGAGAGGTAAAATTGTCTGGTGTATAATATATAAGAAGAGGGGAGGGCATTAGCTAATAGACTGATAAACAATAGAAAATAGACTGTGGTCGTTGATCGCGGATTGCTTATAAAAACTATGATGGCGGGAGATGATCAGACCCCTTCCCTCGACTGTTATTTTAACCAATACTCACATTCTTAACCTTCCACCACCCCTAGGCATTATTAAAACAATAAAACAACACGTTAGACGCAGTTCTAAACATCCTATACCCCACCCCTCTTTAAAACAATGAACTAAACTACGCTACATCCACGTAACTAGTTCAACTACATTCTCGTTTAATTCGGTTTAAATGCTAAATACATTAACGAACCCCCACAAACCTAGAACGTTTATATCCGTGCCGATTGTTGTTACAAACCATAAATGTAGTTTATACGAAAATCTGTCGACTAAGAAATTTTATATCCAAGCATAGAAATTCTCCTTTTCTTCGATGTAAATGGATATTAAACCTTTCATTAGGAAATCTTTTGAAGACTTATCCAAGACATTGGTTATTAAGTATCAGTTAATAGCCCAACCTCTGTTTCTGTAAAGTGTGAAACAACGTGTACGATTTCTAGTGAACTAAGCTAACAGAAATAAACTGTATAGCAAGTTGATCATTGACTTAACTCTTAGAAATAAAGGATGTGTATAGAATATCACCTATAATTATACTGTAAATATCACATAGCACAATAATAAATAAATGAATAAAGTATCCCCCATATTATTTGTAAATAGCAAAACAAATTTTTGGAATCGTTAAATTTTGCAAAAGATTCATCACGTCTTAAATTAGTAAAATTATGTTTAATTAATCAACCTAAAATAATTACATATCAAAAATACGTATTTTCAAAATATCATACTACCTAACGATACTAAATAAAGAATTATTTACCACTGTGGACATGAATTTAGGTTGGGACTATAAACATCATATGTTTCCCCTAAATTGATAAATTAATAGCTTTCTTTGTTAGGGCAATTAATAACTTTGAAAATATTATGTGGAAATTAGAGGTCAATGGATAGGTGAATTTTTGTCCAATGAAATAAATATTGGGGGTTTGTTGGGGTGTTTTATATTTTGCTTCGGGTTTTAATAAAATAAAATAATATAGTTAATTCCATGTAAAGTAAATCTGGTTTCAGCTAAATGTATTTATATATTCATAACAAACACACAACACAAGATGGATATAACTACTGCTCTATTATTTAATAACGACGTTTCATAACACAGACAGGTCACGGTTTCAAACTATTTAAAGAATTGTATTTATATAGTTTGATTTCAATGTAGATAAGTTGTGTGAATCTGCAGTGTTTTACCAATATAATATTGTGATCGGTTGAGCAGTCTGAATTTCTGCACTGATTTGATTAGTAGAGGTGGTCAATTTCTGTTATAAGCGGCCGACCAGACGAGTTGACTGACGGACGGACAGGACTAGAGTAAATGTATATTTTATAGATAAAATAAACACGATACATTAATCTCATCAGATATTATAGTCATCTCGTTACCAATAAAAACATATCTACAAAAACAAGCCCCTTTGACAATCTTTCTTGCAGACAATTTCCCAAAATATTTTAATATACAGTGAAGTGACTTGTCTGCAAACTGAGCTAAAATTTTAATCCAAAACGATTTGTTTAAATATACCCGCCATTTATAAAATAAACATGTTTATTATTTTTTTCAAAGCACATAAAAATTAAAAACTAATCAATCGTTTTATAATATTCTCAATATTTTTTTTATTTTTTTTTTTTTTTAACATAAAACAGATATTTGATTACGGTATTTGAATAGTTACTAATGGTTATACTTATACATTATACGCGAATAAAATATTATATACTATAGATATGAAATAAGTATAACCATTTGATATGCTTGATAGTTTTTGAATTTATAACTGTAAAAATGTAAAGCTTCGAATAGCTTTCAGTATTGTACAGAGTTTACAGCTCGTAACGTATAATAATAAACGCACTTCTTATATTTGATTATATGATAAACCGGGCGACGTGTTCTTCTTAAACATAAATTACACTTTCTGTCTGAATTATTGGTAACAATTGGAATCTTTTCATGATTAAATATCACCATTTTATATTTTCAAGCAAGCGACAGAAATTAGATATAAAGACCGGTTCCTTTTTGTTTCAAAGAAATATAATTATTGGCACATTAGTTTCTGAGAAGTGTTTAAAAGATGGAAAACGTGTGAGGAATATTCTTTTAGCTGTAATTTCACAAGTTAGAGCACAGAATATTACACAAAAAAACTGCAAAAAGAGGTATTTTAACGAGTAAATGAGTTAGTTTATTGTGATCGAATTTGTTTATGTTATTATCTATAGGAAGGAAGTTGTCAATCGTCGAGGGAGACAGCCTGGCGGAGTCCAGACATTCTTGGAATAATGTTGATTTTTCTTATTAGAATATTAACCAACATATTGACACGAGTTTCAATAAAATGAAGTGGTCAGGAGAGAATTAGAGAGGGGTAATGGACACTTGACTATGGCTTAATAGACTACAGATCCCAAATCCCTGAAAAAATATTTTCTGTCCAACTCGCGACCCGAGACGCCGGGTTAATGGCTCATCTTTTGTTTTAGCTAACAACTGTTCAAATTGAAACAAAAGCTTCACGCGAATTTCGTAGGATTTTCTCACTTGTGTATGAAAACAACCCTGGAATAAAGCTCGGAGTACGGAAGTCTTGTTTTCTTTAGTTATCTTCCGATGTTTTTATTGTACAATGGCGGTTGGGCGCCAGGTCGTCTCCACCAGAAGGCTTAGAGCTGCTCGAATCATTGAAGGTCGACCGCTAGAATAATATTGAAGGGGGCGGAGTCTAACGGTGATTGAAACAAACCTCATCACGACTGGCCGATCACATATAAATCCTCGGCCCGTCAACAAGTCATCATTCGACACCAACTAGTCAAAGCTAACAGAACAACTTGAGAAATATACAGACTTTCAGTGATATACATTTACTAGGTGATAATACCGTGTTCATTTCAACATTTAAAAAAAACTTCCTGCTAACAAAAAGTGTGATTGTGACAATTCTTTATTTTTTGAAAGGTAAGTTTTCAAATTTTTACGAAAATAGAAATATTACATTTCGGCCGTAAAAATATATTGGTTACCTTGATACATTGACTATTCATGAGTCTATTTCATTAAAAATATACATCCTTAATATATTCTTTTAATATTTTTTAGCCTTTCTTATATCAAATCTTCGGAAACGTTTCTGTCTTGTCCATATTAATCAGTAAGAATATACAAAGATTATTAATATCATTGCTGTTTGTGTAACCTACATCAATAAAAATAAATATATATATATATATATATCAAAATGGAAATAAAGGTACTATTTAAAGAATTCTTTAAAAATATTCGTAATTTCTAATTTCGTCATCAAAATTTTGGAAATTATTAGCATTATTCCTATAACTAAATTCAAACCTATTTCACTTAGAAACGATTTCGTGACACGAAAATATCCGAGATTTATGCGGTTAATATTTAATGGTATTTGTCTTGTGTAAGAAATAGGTTGAGAAACAGCTATAGGATAGAAAGTCAATAAAGGATTGAATATTGCATAGTGGTGTCAATTTCATCAACTATGTCTTTGTTCTTTAATTACAATTGATTGACAAGTTAGCTCGTGATTCTCCGCTGTAATAGACATGCTTAATTAAAGGTGAATGGGCGATCAAACAATGCGCCGGTGTAAAACGCGTGGATGAAGATTTAGACCTGTTCATTTCATCATCAATAAATGCAATATGCACGAATTGTTATAAGACTGTAAGATATCGTTTCTAGGTTAGTGGTATTAAGCGGGTGGATATTTCATGGATATTGCACTTAACCCAATAGCCTCCTTAATTAATTAATTGTTTTGTGTATTAGAAGTAGTATTTTGTATATTGCGTATTTAAATTATCATATTTTGATTATTTTATTAAAGCGAATATGATTAATTAAGGTGGGTTTTTTCCTGAATGAAAATATTTCTCTTTAATTTTCATACGATTTTGACGGGGAATAAGGGGTAAACAATATTTTTAAAACGATGATTTATTCTCACATGCAAACTACGCACAAATTCTTTTATTCACGCACAATTCTCTTTTTTAAAAAGATATTAACAAGAACACAGTATCATGTATGAGGAAGATATCCTTAGCCAGAGAGCCAGAGCTTTCCCTCTTAGTCATGGATTGATGCCAACACCACAAGCCTTTTCATTTGGATTCCCAATGCATCCCGCTCATGATCCAATGGCCCTTGCTGGTAAGTAAAGTATTATTTGTCTATTTCAGATTTATACTTGGGTAATTGTATTTACTCATTTTGCATTTATTAGTGTAAACATTGCATATTTTTAAATTACTAATATAAATTTGTATATTGAAAATAAATTGTTAGTGTTATATATTTAAAATGTTCTCTCCTAAAATCTACTGTCAGATATTTAAAAATATAAGTTAGTTATATAAGTTATAGCGTTATCAAGTTTCCTTCTCATCTATTAGTTTTTACTGCAATACTTTCAATATTCTTACAGTACTAATCTTTTCATGGATGAAAGGGGGAACCGCCTCAATAGTTAGAAATCAGATTAATCTGTCGAACCGTGAAACGGACAAAAGGTCCATTTGTATACAACGCCTACCGTTTTTATATCTAATCTCATTTACCACCTTTTAATATCGCCAAATAAACTAGAAATTTAAGAAGCTTAGATTAAGAAAGCGCGAGATTTTGGATATAAAACAGTTCTTATTTAGACATTTATCAGAATTTCTCTAGCTCTTCAAGTGTTCACATCGAGACTATTTATTATTTGGAGAAAATTTTTACGATCTACACTTTTCATCAATCAAACATGGACTCAGAATTTGATTTTTATGACTGTTAGTAAAGTAGATATATGTTCAGCATTAATATTTCATGAAGCCTATGTCTGTGTCGTTACAACAGAACCTATATTTTCGATAAGCTCCATTCACATAGCTTTACCATATTTCTATATTTTCGGTTTCTCCTTCCCAGGTCAAGCTCAACAATATGGTGGCTACCCGCATCTGTCTACTCCCGACCCCAAAAGAATGTTAGGCAGTGGTCAGAATGAGACAGCCGACAAAAACATCAAAATAACTTTAGAAAACCGTGATTTATGGCAGAAATTCCACAATATCGGCACAGAAATGATTATTACCAAGACTGGAAGGTAAATCTTCGTTCAAATTTATTTTCTTACAACACTTTTTTCCCGTCTGAAATTAGTTTGAATTCTTAATTTTACCTGAAGAAAATGATATTGTAATGGTGACTTAATTTGACAATGTATCTCATGCGCACAGGTAATTGTTTTGAAATACGATTCTATTAAATAGGTTGGTAGTAAAGATCTCGCTGTGTGAGAAGTCAATCGGAACCCATTACAAGCTACCGATGTCTTGTGTAGCTCTTGGTCTCCCGTCGTTCGAAGTCATGCCATTTCCCTTTCATGTCACCCCGTGTTTACGAGTGCACGTGTCTGCTTTAAAGGAGAACATCTCTATTTATTTAAACAATACAATATTCTGTAGAATTTTACACACCGTCATTAGTTAATATACATATGTCAAAAAACAAAAAGACAACGAAGAAATTAAAAATAAAATAAAAATCTTTATAAACTATTTTAAGATAAAAAAAAATAATGTATCATTAATTGTTTGGACTTTTAGATTATTTACTAAATTTTCAATAAAAGTTGATCAAGGATGGGGTGGGGATCTTTTTACAAGAATGAGACATCTTATAATTTGATCCAATATCTCCTTACATCATTAAAAAAAATCATAATTGAAAAAATAAAACAAATTAAGTTTTTGTGACATCACGACAACCGTGATTATTGCATTATAAATAAATGTTGGTCACAGATGCTTCATTTTAGCCGAGGGGTTGAGAATGCATTGTTTAGAACCCGGATCTAGAGCCTGGCATGCACACAAAAGGCGATATTTTACCGTTAGTTTCTCAATAGACATTAATGAACATAAATAACAGGCAAACACTTGTTTGGCATTTTTGCACTAAAAAGGAAGAATGATACTTTTCAAACAATAATTGATATTTTTTTTCGGCTATTTGATTTTGAACAATAACATTTAATAAAGTTGTTAGCTTAAACCTAAAAATATTATCAGCGGACTCTGTTTAGGAATGATAAAACTATGGCTGTCATGTAACATCTTGGTGAAAATTATTTTTCTCTTCTCTTTTCTATATAATTACAGTCAATAACTCATCAATTTGGCAACATGCTTGCCTTTATATTCATGAAATATTATCTCAATACTTACAAAAGAATCTACTCAAAAAAGCAATGACTCATGGATTATTCTTCTATTAAAATTATATTTAATAATTAATTAATTATCATGAACATTATATTAATTTATTTATTATTCATAATACAAGTTACACAGCCTCCACGATTGATTCCAAATCTCAAGTAAAATAAAAAACCTTCTGTATCTTTTTCCGTCCTTTAACCGAAAGGTTGAGGTGTAAATATTAAGAAATAATTTGTAACTAGCGCGAAATTAAGTTAATTTACACCTTGTTTCTAAGTTGGTAATAGTGGGTAATTACCGCCGTGTTTTAACAAATACTGTTTGATATAGTGTTGAGTCTATTGTTAACACAGTGATGTAACACTGATTATTAATGTACTCCCTTCAGTTACTACATCTGTCCCTCAGACTAAATTTTTTTGTTAGTCAATTTGCCAGACTAATCCTATAATTCGTTTGAACCTGGAGGCAATTTTGGGCGAACCCACAACTTTTTTTATATATATATAGAAATGAAGGCTATTGTTAATTTATGAATAAATAATCAACCATTTGTTTTTCATTTAGAAAATATTTATTCAGAAACCACGTTTTCTACTTTCTAATTGTAGACGAATGTTTCCTATCTTGAAGTGTAGTTTAGATGGTTTAGATCCCCATGCTAAATATATATTGTTGGTTGATTTGGTACCAGTTGATGATTGTCGTTATAAATATCACAACTCAGAATGGGTGGTAACTGGTAAAGCTGAACCTCATATGCCTGGTAGACTTTATATTCATCCTGATTCACCAGCTTCTGGTGCGCACTGGATGAAACAACCGGTACCATTCCACAAACTCAAACTTACAAATAACAATCTGGATCAGAACGGACATGTAAGTTCATTTTATAATCTCCTTTTCTTTTCTAAAAAAAACTGGGTAATCTTTTCATGTTGTAAAAGTTTGTTTCTTGGCAATATGAATTATTTTATGTCTATTTGAAATTTTTTTTTTTATTATTATTTTGTAATATTCCATTATTAAAGTTTAAAATAGATTTTGATAGACATTTTTGAATTTTAAAATTGATGTTCCTAACAAATATTGAACGAGGACTGAGTTATTGTTTGGGCAACTATAATAAGAATCTAAATTCATTTAAAACTTCTCTAGAGCTTAGCGTGAGGCGCCAAATCCCTAGATAATTTCACGCAAGCTTACAGATTGAAAAATAAGTCCATCACGAATTTATCAATGCCCAAAGTAATTCATTTCAAACCGAAGACTATCTCAGTCGCAATTAATATAAGAAATATTATTTGCAATTGAACGCATGAAATAAACGTTTTTCTACGAAAAAATATCTTTACGAAATTTGATTGGCTAGTAATAATTTTGATATGGTTTACGGGATATTTGGCCTGCGTGCTGAGGTCCCCAAGCACGTGAACGATGAAGATGCTGGCTTTGGATACAAATTGTTGATTGACAGTAGTGTAATTGACTCCTCCGTCGAGGAAATTCCCAATCTAGTTGTACGATCAAATGAAGAATTTGTCCATTAAAAGAAGTTGAACTATCCATTAAGAGGCAATCGAATAATCATTTAAAGCTATTTTCTGAAAGTTGTCGGTATGATAATCGATATTCCTTTATTAAATACGTTTTAATGTTCTAATACCATGGTACTGATTGGCACAATATCAGATACAATACTAGCGTCTGTAAATAATTCAATTCACAGAGGAATAAAAAAAACCAAGGGAAAATGCATGTAGACCGCAATAAAACACGGGTAATCATTCAAAAAGATGCGCTTTAATAAACTGCTAACAGGAACATATGGTCTTTCTTTATTATCATATTTTTATCAGTATGCTTCAGTTGTAAATTATGCGATTAATTATGTGCGATAGTTGCCTTTTATTAATCAACTAAAGATAACTGGCATATTTTTCCAAAAATGTACTCAATACAACCAATTTGTCGTTCATCTTTGAAGTTGCGTCATTTAAAAAACAAATCTTAATCATTTAAATAAATGAGTCTAATTATTACGGATGAAATCTTAACTATTGAGATGTTTTATTTTTCAGGTGATTCTCAATTCTATGCACAAATATCAACCCCGTGTTCACGTTGTGCAGGCTAATGATATATTTACTATGAGATGGAATACTTTCAACACATTTGCTTTTGAGGAAACCATGTTTATTGGTGTGACAGCTTACCAGAACGAACAGGTAAAACACACTACTTTTCATTCACTGCATTTTTATCGGTCTGAATTCATTTAAGACTTCAATCTTAGACGTAATATAAAATTATTAATATTAATCCAAGTGTAAAGAAATGATTAGTATTTTTTTCTTTGGAATCGAATTGCGATAGAAATATTGGAATATATTTTACAATTTTTATATTGAATCATGTGAAACATATTGTTCCGTTTTCTTTTCAAAATCATGAATCCTATTTACGAACCGTTCCCATCTTGCTATTTTCATCAATTTGATCTTTGACTTTTTGTCGGGTCCATAAATAAGTAATATAATTTGCCTCGTGTATAATGACAGTGAATGACGTAACGTGATTCGCGGTGATCAGTGTAAAACTATATTGCATGCCTAGTTGATTGCAGGTTGCTACGTCAAGAACTAACATGCTTCCATCAAAAAATAGTTGGCCTCGTAAATATTTCATTCGAGATTGGGCTCGATTTCGGTGTCCTTTGATGTAAACGAGATGGTCAATTCGTTCTGAAATCTACACCTGCTATTAAGCGGAGGAAACAATAGCGCGAAATTTAACGGAGATTGCGTGCAAGTTATTAAGCGTCGCGTGATAAGTGGCACTTTAGCGTATATAGACTGTATGGAAAGCGTGAATATGGCTACTTTTCTCCCGTAACAGTTATCTTGTAACAGCAGTTATCTTACTGTGGAAAACATCCCCCGAGACCTTCGACTGGAAATTACAGATTGAATTGCCTAACTCGGAACGTAACCCCATAAATCAGTGAAAATAGCATGTATTGAATAATATAACCGTCTGCTGGCAAAACGTTGGTTAATAGGACCTCCATAAATACACTAACTCCATTCTTTCCTGGGGAATATTTGATTAAAAAACAACCTAATAAAATATCCCAATAAATATTTATATTCCAGTATTGTTATCAAATTTGTACTTTTCAGATCACCCAATTAAAGATTGACAACAATCCTTTCGCTAAAGGCTTCAGAGATAATGGCATGGCAAGAAGGTAGGTATTCAAATAAAATAAAAAAAATGTAATGTTCTAAATGTATCAAAAACATTCGTTCTTAAAAACAAAACATTTAAATAAAAAAAAATATTTTTAAAAAATAAATAAAACGTGAGTAACAAATATAATTTATTAATTCTGATATTAATTTTACAGAGATCACAGATTAAGCTTGAAAAGACCTAACAGTGAAGATGGTTGCAATGATGACATAAAAGGTATTAATGAATAATTGGTTTTTATATTAAAATCTATTCCACTGTTAAATTTTCTAAAAAAAAAAAGGTAAATGTGCCTTTTATAATACTAAAGTAGTTCGTAGTCTATTAACCTCTCAGCTTAAAGTCGTTACTCGGGCGCTATAGTTCTTATTCAATTACCCATCTGCCGCTTTCTGCCCATTGTCAATGTTTTTCTTGAAATCCGATGTTTCGTAGCATCTTGGCACTTCAAGTGAAGAAGTTTTGGATTGAATTCTCGCTTAGTTCGTCAAATTAGGCGCATTTCCTTCCTCGGCGATTTGAAATTTCACACCTTTCTGTCGTCGCACGGCCAATATGCTATCGACTTGAAAGCCATGGCCATAGCGAGATCTGATTAAGCGCTTTTTCCTGAAATATTGATGAAGACGCATAATTAGATCAACGAGTCGACGCTGAAATATGACTGTAAGTGTTCACACGTTCGACTAGATAAATAGATTAGTCTCTCTATAACACCTGGTATACTCACTCTCTCTCTTCTTCCATCAACTATCATAGCTTTACAACACTACACATTACGGCCGACATTTTTTTCTCATTTAGCGATTGGAATAGAAACCTTTTCATACTAGGTCAAATAAATCAATTTTAATTTAGCTCTAACTTATTGCCTTCCATTATCCAATAACTGTTCTTAACAAATTTTTTCACAATCTGCCAAGGGTTTTTTTTTTCTACGAAACTATTAAATCTATCTAGAATTTTGAGCGGGAAATATACAATAGGCGCCAATAGTTGGACAGATGAGGAATTTTAAATTTCTAGTTAATTAAACTAACTAACAAATTAGATGGTATTTAACACCATGTAAATAACCACATTCTTCCGCTTTGCTACCTTTTATTCACAAGAGCTATATTATGCTTTGATTGTGTTTGTCGACACCCCAAAAACAATGGCCACTTTCCTTTCAAATGATGCTGACAAGTAAATTAGGCAACAATAGGCACGTGTCGTTACATTATTGGCCCTATAATTACCCAATAGCCTAATGACAGGCCACGATGTTAACGCTGTAAACCAGTTAATTTGACGACCCTCTGAATACCCATTACATTATGACTCTGCAGTAGGTCTTACTCGGGTAGTCCCAAGTTTTGGTGCTCGAGTTTCGATATTGTCATAGGTGCGAAATTCCTCTTCAGTACTTAATTGACATGAACGACACTAAATACCCTTACGATAATATTAGTTTATTAACCTGTCATCCTTTATCTTTTCAGTAGAAAATCCAGCTAAACGACTGAAGAATCTGGATGATGTTGAACCGAATTCAATGAAACTGAAAACGTCGACACACAACCCTCCAGTAACACCTAAAACAGATATGAACGAACAACTCACAGATTCGTCAGCCAGCTCTCCAACAGACGGCAGTGATAGCGATCTTTCATCCTGTCTCAAATCAGAAAGTATTTCTCCTCTAGAGAAACCCCGAGGGCACCACGACTCCAGCCCCGATCTACCCAACCCCTGTCAGTTCAGCACCATGAAATCTTATAACCAAGCTTGCATGCCGAACGACCAGTCTTATTATTCTCACCATTCTTCAGTCAGTCGTGTTCAGAGCAGTTCTTTTCTTCCAGTCTCTTCCACGACGGGTTTACTTCAACCAATGACCAGCAACCTGTTCTCCATGAACTCCCAGATGCAACCCTGTCGATTATCCGGGCAGACCAACGACTGTGCTCTTCGACAATCTGGTTTAGGATCTCCCTCTCATGGTTACGGTATTCGAACAACACCACCTCAGCACCACCCATCGTTATCATCTGGTTTATCATCGTGTACGTACATGCAGTCAGCTCAGCCGTACGCCTCACACCTCACCCCTAACATGCATATGATGAACATGAACTTCACTGGACCTATGGCATGAATTCTCAATGGCTCTTAGTAGCGCTTTAAGAATTTAAATAAATTAACTTATTATCGAGTGTCGACGTAGCAAGACGCGAAGGGCAGGAGCTGGCCGCGTAAGTGATATACGCAGTCAGAATAACCAACGCAAGTATTGAGCCAGTTATAAGTGGTGCAGGAATTAAGCTGTTTGGACCTTTTTGTATCCAGTAAATCGTGTTAAACTATTGATTTTTAATCCGCAAATGACGTGTTGAATAATTAATGTAAATATTGAAGAATTACATTACGGAAATATCAAAGGGCCTAATACGTGCAGTTATATAGAAGTAATATAGTCTACAATTCAATACATACAAATATATAGAAAGATACAAGAAGTTGGCTGTGAACTAGTCGTAGGTAAAACATGATGGATATATATACATTATACTTATAAAAGATGTAGATTTATGTAATATATAATATTATAGAATGTGTATATAGTATATATTAGTTTTTATTATTTAATTATCTATCTAGTTGAAATCCAGATAACACGTGTATTTAATAGAGTACATTGTTTTCTATCGCCATTGTTTGTACATTTTGCTTCGGACAATTTTGTTTTGTTTTTGAGTAATAAATACCTACTGGTATTCTCAGTAAATGTTCTTTGTTTGACTTGTATATTTAAAATGAAGACACTTGAAGAGTGTTGGGGAGTAAAATATGTCTGTGGTGTAGTGTGTGATTGCCAGGGCCCCATGATAATTTGTATGTGCCGTAGCACTTACCCACCCTCACACACCTGTACAAGGACATTAACACTACAATGCATGATTATGATCAATAATCTTTATTTCTTAATAACTCAAATATGTTTACTCACACTGAACTATAACACATCTGCGGCACGAATACCGGTCATGCCGATTTTAAAAAATTAAATACACAGTAGATATTTATGAGATCCCTGGGGCTTTATGTGCTCCGGAGCGATGTACAAACTGCACCCCCTCTCCTTGGACCCGGTGACTGCCGCCATGTATTGGGAGGGATAAACTTCTACAGTGTGAAACTTCTATGGCGTTCTCTGTAGTTTGGGTTTACAACGGTGAATACTTTGGAGAACCAAGCTGTAAATCTTATATAATGCAGTTCCAAAACGGATATCTGTGTTCAATGTTGATAAGAGCACAAACAAGACTTCTTTATGCCACTGCTTCAGCATATAAGAGGGTTTGGGTTCGATTCTCGGCTTGTGCGTGACAAGGATTATGGTCGCCTGTCCAACCTCGTGGGTTTTCTCCGGGTCCTCTGGTTTCCTCCCACTGTTAAAGACATCTACGGGCAAGCGAATTTTTAAAATAAAATAATAAAATTGAACCACATATTAGTTATTATTCCCGAAATGACCGAGTTACCCTCCCTCCCCTCCTCTCTCTCTCTCTCTCTCTGTCTCTCTCACACACACACACTCTCTCTCTCTCTCTCCCCTCTCTCTCTCTCTCTCTCACACACACACACACCCATTCACACACACACACACGACTTCTTTTTATAAGCAATTCAAGTCGATTAAGGATGCAACAGGGTTCCCAATAAGACAATCTCAAGCTTAATGTGCTGTACTCATTTTCACGCTTCAAACATTATGGAACTGCTAAACTGTAAACAACCCAGTAGGTGCAGCCAGAACAAACGTTATTGTTTTTGTCACTATCAGAGTTAAGCTGATTTTCGGGTTAACAAACAGGTTATATTTGTGGAAATATATTATTTTTAAAACAGAAATTCACCAGTTACATTATTATAGTAACTGCGTCGGTCTTAGTGGCCAATGGGTCTTATTGGGAACATTATTGACGGGGGCAGCAGCCAAGGGCTGGTTTAGTGAAATGATTTATTAAAAATGACCAGAAATGACCATTCTTTTTATTTTATTAAAAATATACTTTTCTACGAAGGTAGTTTTACACCACAAACAGATTAATCTAAATTAATTGTTTACCTCAACATAACATCAATGTTTGATTACATAAATGAACGTGTGTTTGCCTAATCTCGGCTTACTAAAGCTTTTCCCTTTTTTTCACAGCTGCTCCAATGAGAGAGTTTCCTTTGATACTTTACTCTACCTATCTTTACCAGTCATAAAACTTAATGAAAGAAATCGACGATACACTCCTTCCAGCATACAACCAACTTTTCAAATAGATGTAATTTATTGAGATCAAAGTACGACTAAAAAGTTTTTACAAAATCTTAATTTTTTGCCAAAAAATCATTCTATTAGAGAGATGGGGCACCGAACAATTTTACCACTTTTCAAATGTTCTCGAACTTCTCGAAAGGATCCAAATCGTGGACTAGGACCCTCCTTAGACAAATCCTAATCATATCATTGATAAAAGTATATTGTCCCACAGAAATTACATCTATTTGAAAAGTTTGTTGTATGCTGGAAGGAGTGTATCGTCGATTTCTTTCATTAAGTTTTATGACTGGTAAAGATAGGTAGAGTAAAGTGTATATGAGTTTGTTAAAAGTGAAATACAAGCTTACTTCACACAATACGTTTGTCTTATTTCAAGTATACAATTACTTACTAAAACTGATTTATAATCGACAGATTTTCGGTTGTGTGTGGTCCACCGAACTTGGACAAATCAAAACAAAACAATAAAAATCCACAAGTATCATACAATATAATTTATTCAATGCTTTTTTTATTACGCAAAATGCTCTGAAACGGGAAAACATGTACATTTAATGGGGGCCCAGAGCAATTTAGTTTTCAAAGAATATTTTGTAAAGACATCTATGGAAGACCAAACAGCTTTGTATTCAGTGTTCTTAATTCTTAATTCATAGTCCACAATTCTTATTTCTTTATTTGTTGTATTTCGACATCTGTATACTAAAATTAACATTTGTATCTTAAAAATCAATATTTGTTTTACAAATCAGACACTTGTCATAACAAATTTGTGAATTGTATCTTTGTTTAATTAAATCGTATTTTAATATAATACGATCAAAAAATTACATTTTCATTTCCTCAGAAACATACAACGAAAAACAAATCTCGAACAACAATTTTCCAAATACAAATCTCCAACTACAAATCTTGCAAAACCGTTGCCAAAAAACTTTTCTTCAAATTCATCTAACCTGAATATTATGACGACAGAGGACGCTAATGGTGAGCTGTCAAACGGCTCTACCAAACGACAACAGAGTGGCTGCATTTTACGGTTCTTTGATGATATACATTCTTCCTTGTAATTAATTTAAAGATTTATATAATAATTATTAAACTCTTTATATAATTCTAATTTTAAACAATGTACTTATAATTTTGTAAATAATTTCGTAGGGAAGATGAATTATACTAAAATCGTTTCTGCAGAATGATAGAAGAACGTATATCCAAATTATTTTAATAAACGTTGCATTGGTTATTTTAATAACCGCGCATTTCGTGTAAATATTTTCTTTTGTGTTTTGGGTAGGTTATATTCAAATAAATTCATCAGTATATTATACTAAAATATTACAGATGGATAGAAAGGTGTATATCGACAATATTTTAATAAACGTTATATTGCCTACTTCGTTTTGTTCTAACACTATTTTTATGTTAACACAGCATTCATTTACGGAATCTAAAAACAAGCCGGATCTGATATAAATTCATCTTCTCTAAGAAATTATTTACAAAATTATAAGTACATAGTTTAAAATTATAAAAAGTTAATCAAGAAAAATATTATAGATAAAGAGCTGACCATTCTTGCTAGAATAGCTCAAAACTAGATAATGTAAAATGAAGATATTGAAAATTTTATTCATATTACTTCAATCTGAGCCAAGTTATCACTGTTTGTATAGTTTTGACAATATGTGTGCATTGTGGTAACCAGGGCACTGGTATAGTTGAGACTTAGCCTCGCTTTCCCATTTTTGAATTAAACTTTGAAATAGCGAACAGTTCTAATCTAGTTAAAATCTCGAGTATCCGATGCCATAGAGAGGTGATTATGGTTTTGTTTTGTTAATAAATGTCTAATTAATAATTTATATAATATTTCAGGCCTAATAAAGAAAGACTTGCAATAGGCAGATTAAACTTTTGCATAATGTATGTTTAAATTACAAGGAATGCTGTATAAAAATTATTAAAGATCTGGAAACAAGCTGGGCTTATGTGAATACATCCCCCCTACGACATTATTTACAAAATTACAAAATGAAAAATGAAATGAAATGGGATTTAACGTCCTACTGTTCTGCTCCGACTGGGACTGCACCACACACAATAAGACAAAACAAATCTACGGACAAGACACAATACGCAGAAATCACCAAAAAACATACATATCAGATTAAGTGAATGGATCCGGGACTAGCGTCCACTGCACTGTAGAGTCTCGGGCCTGTAGTGAAACAAACTTCACTCAAAACTGAAGACGGGCATACGCCATACACTTGTGTTATTAGGGAAATTTTGCCCCGGACAGCGGCGCTACGGCCTACTCTTACATCGAATTCCAACTGCTAAGGGATCTTTTACGTGCACGCCAATGTGTACGCGGGACCTCGGTTTTCGTCCCATCCGAACGACTACACACTGTCCCTTGCCAGACTGATGAATATATTTGTCAAAACTCAAAAGAAAATATTTACACGGCATACGCGGTTATTAAAATAACCAATGCAACGTTTATAAAAAATAATGTCGATATACGTCTTTCTATCGCTCTAAAACGATTTTAGTATAATTCATCTTCCCTACGAAATTATTTACAAAATTATAAGTACATTGTTTAAAATTAGAATTCTATAAAGAGTTTAATAATTATTATACAAATCTTTAAATTAATTACAAGGAAGAATGTATATCATCAAAGAACCGTAAAATGCAGCCACTCTGTTGTCGTTTGGTAGAGCCGTTTGACAGCTCACCATTAGCGTCCTCTGTCGTCATAATATTCAGGTTAGATGAATTTGAAGAAAAGTTTTTTGGCAACGGTTTTGCAAGATTTGTAGTTGGAGATTTGTATTTGGAAAATTGTTGTTCGAGATTTGTTTTTTTTTCGTTGTATGTTTCTGAGGAAATGAAAATGTAATTTTTTGATTTTCTAAAAGAAATTTTACCATTATATTAAAATACGATTAAATTAAACGTACATCTAAATCTGCCTATTGTAGGTCTTTCTTTAGGCCTGACTGAAATGTTATCAAAATTATTAATTAGACATTAATTTACTTATTCAGACCATAATCAACCCTCGATGTCATCGCTAGCCTGCGATGTTTATTGGATTAGGTTCCGATTTGCTGTTCGACTTCCATTCATGATTTAATCATGAAATGCTTTATCGAGTCTATGGTTTTTTTTTTCTTACCGACTTTAGTAATGATGATCGAGTCTGGACTGAAAATTCAATCGCTAAAATCTCGGTTCAGAGTGGATCAATTTGACTGAAATTTTCAGCAAATTCCCCTTTACATTATCTAGTTTTTAACTATTATAGTGAGAACTGCCGACTCTTTATCTAATCCCCCATAATGTATCTTAAAACACAGATACAATTAAAAAATTTGATTGACTAATGTCTGATAAACATATATTGATTTTAAGATACAAATGTTAATTTTAGTGTACACATGTCGAAATACAACAACAAATAAAGAAATAAGAATTCAGGACTCTGAATTAAGAACTAAGAATTAAAAACACTGAATAAAGAGCTGTTTGGTCTTCCATAGATATCATATCCTCACCAACAATCAGTACAATCATTATAAATCATTGTACAATCCATAAATATATAAACAAACCACTGTCTCGTGTGGTATATAGCGAGAAGTGTCGTGTACGAGGTAAGGTGTGCGTATTTCTAGAACACCGATACCATTTCAAGATCAAGTGGACAGATATAGCAAACAAGGACCCCCAACCAACAAGAAGCTTAAATTTAAGGCCAGTGATAACCTTTTGGAATTATTATTCTCCAGTACACCATTCTGCACCTAGAATCTACTTTGAGCAGGGACGCAGATCCCAGTTGGGACAGGTGGACGCGTCCGAGCCAGTTATTTCTTGACTATGTTTCTCAAAACCCTCAATTCCGTGTGTACCATCTCGTCTCGTACGAATGGGATGCTGAGTCCAGCTACCGATAGCTAATTTACTGGCACAAATGTATAGACAGAGTCGGTAAAATGGATGGGGAATAACATGGCTGCCAAATCAACACCAAGAGAGTACAACCTGTTGCTCTACAGGAATATTGCGTTTCTTATTTAATTAATCCAAGAACCAGTTATCATGCACGATTCACTAGATTTTGTTCAGGAACTCGGAAAGCTCTAAGATCGGTCGGGTAAATTCAAAGACCTATACTTAGACTTAAATCCGCGAATCTCCCACTTTGCTGAAGCCCGGCCGTATGCCCTACAAAACTACATAACTTTTTTTTGTAAAACAATACTTTTTTGAGATGGTGGGATGGGATGGGCATTCAAAGCGGCGCGAGATAATGATATAGACATATGTGATATCAGAATTAATGCTTTGCATCAATGATCAGTGTAATTGAATCACAATGTAATCGTATTTATTCAGAATAAAAATTGACGTCAAAAGGGGTGTTGGATATCTCCCTTCAAAAAGTTCAGTGCATATGTAAGTATACGTAATTTGGAGACGGTGGTAGCATCATGCATTGTAAACTATCAAATTTCCTTAACAATGGATGTTATATATGCCCCACTACCCCCACTCCACACACACACACAACGATACATCTTCTCGGGAACTCGGCATACCCCTTCCAGCAAAATTCCTGGACGCCTTGCCCCACATGGCGAGTAGCCATGGTCGCGCAGCTACCCATTTCAAATTCCGGGTACTACTTTTCAGCGACAGCCCATAGGAGGAAGCAATTCTTGATTGGGGGGGGGGGGGCTCTATCACCCTAGTTCCTTAGGCGAGGGGCCGCCTAAGCACCGGAAGCTCTTGGGGTCTAGATCGTAGGAGACGCCTTCTGAGCGATTTCTGGCTAGTAAATTAATTAGCAATAAAGTGAAATTTATTTACCATAAAAACACAGTCTATAGTGGTTTAATCCTGTGATGCTGAATTGACATAAAAATGCATAATAATACCAAGGTTGTGGACACTCTAGATGTCACAATGTTTATCCGATTTTGATTAAACTTACAATATACATGTATGTTTATTACCGAACGTTCTCGGTTCCTTTCGATATTGGCGCATATAGGACCCTCACTTCCTGGATTATGGCCCCTGTTTGTACGAACAATCACATTTAGGTTTGTGGATCCTGTAGAAGTGACCGTTTTTATTTGATTGTAAAAACCGTTCAAATATATCCGATTTTTATCCAATGTTGACGAAACTGGAAATATTGGTCTATCTCCCAAAGATCTCGGTTTTGTTACTTTCGAAATTGGCATGTATCGGGCCGTAACTTGACCTCTGATTGTACGAAAAATCACTTTTTTAACTTACGGATACTCTAGAGGTCACAATTTTCATTAAACTGCGTGTAGGATCAAAAGTTCTTGGATGAGTTCGACTTGGTAGCATCAGACCTTACATTCTAGAGCTATAGCCCCTGCTTTTCATGCAAAATTTGAAATATGTACGGATTTTATAGACCCTCCAGTGGGGGCTACCATTGTTGTCCCATTCTGACTTAAATATGTTATGGATCAAAAAATCTTAAATGAGAGGATAAGCCCAATTGATTTTACCTCTTCCCCATCCATTTCTTGCAAAATATGGGCATATCTTGCTTGGTAACCGCTTGTTTTAACTGGTCATAACTGATAGCAGTGAATTATTTGACAGGTAAGGGACACGAGGAAAGAGTATAAATAAACCTAATATGTCGACCCTCGCAACCGTAGGTCTCTTAACCCAGATATCAGTATAGAGCATATAGCAGAGTTTTCTTCTTCTAAAAGTCTACGTTCTAGAAGTCTCACTTCTATTATGTTACAATCAAGCCTCTTTCTCCAGCCACAGTAGTGGACCGTCCTAAGGCCTTCCTTTGAGCAAGTTTTGTAGTCATTTGACTACAAAAAAGTACTAGCCTATAACTCCCTTAATTTCCAATTACACTGATCCCCAAACTGTGCTGTACATAGCTTAACATATAGAGGGTAAACCTAACCGTATTATTATATGATTTGATCAAACCCAAATGCTATGCGAAATTTCTATTCAATTTAAAATGGCCGCCGAACCAGAATCCCGTGGTGTCATTGCCACTCGAAAATACAGAAAAACTGTTCGGTAAGATAAGATTATGATTTCAGTGTTCCACTCTTCACTATTTGTAACATAATTACTTATTTCCATGCAAACTGTGATGATATGTGTTGAAAATTTTGCAATTGAACCTAATTTTACTTGCTCAAAGATTCGAATAGTGTATCAATTGCAGACGTGGACAAGAATTATCACAGCTACAAATTACAGCTGTAGCTAACCCTCTGACTTAGCCATTGGCCAAGCATTAAATGGTAGGACAATCACGTCCTATTAGTGTCCTTGTATATGGACACAGATATAAACGGAGGCACAAAACCCTCGACCAAGTCGCATGGATTTCGACTTTGTGATTCGAAAGACATTTTGCCATGAAAAAATAGCTCAATAATCAATTTTGAAATCTTATTCAAATCCCGACGACCCTGACCCATAAAATATTATTAATGCAAACTATTTAAATTGTGAAAGATGTGATGCGTGCCTTTGAATTGCTCGTGTAAACCAACCAACAATCTGATTAAATTCCATTTTCGTTTCGATGGCCCACACTACATGGAGATCTGACAGGTCGCGTCAGGGATCATAAGAGCGGCTTTTGACCCTATGACGTAAGACATTGATTAATCAATCAGCGTTGACGTTTCTAGTGGTATACCCGCAGTTCGAAAGACATTTTGCCATGAAAAAATAGCTCAATAATCAATTTTGAAATCTTATTCAAATCCCGACGACCCTGACCCATAAAATATTATTAATGCAAACTATTTAAATTGTGACCCATTCCTCTTGCAGTGCTACGGCCAATTCTTGCAGTGTTGTCGGTTGATGTCGACGAACACGTCTCCCGATCAAATTAAACATAACACACTAAAGCAAAGATACGCTAAACAGTAAATCTTATGCAAGAACCGATAGGAAAGCAAACATGGATAGGATAAACCAACAAGCGGCAGTTTTCATCAACCCTTCCTTGAAGTGTCAAATTTGACAATGAACCACGTGTAAAGCACTATAGCATGTCGCACATGCAGCTCAGTGGTTCTGTTGGGGCGATAAAGTCTTCATCTGTGAACATACCCTCAAAGCAGTCCAGTGTCCATGACTATTTATCATATCACAACCTGCATAGGTATTTGCATTTCAATATCCCCTACTTTTTTTGAAGAGTACATCTTGGTAACTTCTGCTAAAAATTGGCCAAGTGGGTGCCATTTTTCCGGCAAAGAATCTCACACTTAAGATGTCATTTATCTCTTTTCAAAATTCTAATAAGGCAACGAATAAGATAACAATTTATTACATAAAGCACTGTCTTTTATTCTATTTTGGTTACATATACAATATGTAAAACCTTAATGAACACAGGGAATTTTCATGTAGTAATATGCCGACATTTATATTTACATATGACAATAATTATGATAGTGGGCAGTATATATATATATATATATATATATATATATGTGTATATATATTTATATAGTAACAACAAACAATATAGAAAACAAAATTACAATTTCTTCACGATGGTGATTTGGATATCAATATGGCAAGACTACAGAACTATGAAAACTGCAGGAACTTCATATACTTGAACAGTTATCAGATGTAATTTAATCATATTAACTTGATAAATGAGTTTTCTTGTTCTATAATCATAATCAACTAGTGTTCATTATTATTTCATGAGATAAAAATAAACCTTTTCACCCTAAATTGAAACTTTGATAAATAAGCCGTTAATATTTTTAAATAATCAATATCAATTACATTATCAAATTAAAATGTAATAAAATGAATATCATAAAATTTAAACTTATTATTTTTGTTTTCCTTGTTAAAATCTTTTATTTTGGTTATAAACAATATTTGTGCTTTCAAAAATCTCATCATAGAACAACTTTTGATTTTTAAAAAAAAACAAAAAACGTAAACTTCAAATAACACAGGTATATTTGACATAAAAACATTTAACAGTTTGATTAAAGTTTTGGCTTCATAAATCTTTTCTACTCGCTAAGATTTTATTCAAATTGAAATCACTATTGTTAATGAAGAGAAATTCAGCAAAAATTTATTGTTTCTCACTTACTCAGAACTTTAATGATTCACTACCAACCTCTATGTTTTTTTATTAAGAAAGGGAAGTACTCCCCACTAAGCCAACCTACGGCCAGGGCCACAAATGGACAGATTGCAAAATCATATACTAATATACAGGAGGCGGCTCTCCTAGGTCCCTAGGTCTGTGATATAACCTTTGTGGAAGGATACCTTAAAGAACCATGGTAATACTATTCAGAACTTAAAAGAGACATCAGTGCTTTGGATATCAAATCATAAAATGCTTATTTTGTCTTAAATATTGGATATCAGAAGCCCATCTTTTCCCAGTAATATCACAACATCAATGTTGATTAAAATTGACAAATAATTCGTGTTTTCAATGTCGAAGGTTTTGGATGATACAGAGTTAGAGACTTAGCTACTTTAATACAAGTAAATCATACAGCCATTTTTAAGTAAGATTCAAACGAAAAACAATTAATACAGTTATTTCTGAAAACAAAACATAAACAAACAGATATATGTATAAGACAGACTGCAGACACAACATTTACAGTTTGAGACATAGATGTTTAGCCATCCACTGATAAGACAAGTTCAGAGAGCTAACTATACTAGTTGTTTGAAATCTGAACTCAAAATATTCCATAGAAAAATGGTTTGTTTTATGCCCAATGGTAATATAAATTTGAGTAAATTCTGAATGAGTAAAAAGTCTGAATTATGATATACCCCTGCTTTGATCATTGTTTGGTTTGGGTGGTAAAATAATATACAATTTAAATGTAGGAACATAAACATGACTGAACCTACATCACAACAACAGAATTAATACAACAAGTTAAGTACATTATTTACATATTAAAACAAGGACGTTAAAATGATGACTATATACACTATGTACATTAAACATGATTATTGTAATGAACATGATGATGATGATGACGATGATGATGATGCAGGAAGGGTAAAATATGATGAGTTTTATGTGGTATTTGATTGGGTAGCTTGACGGACACAAACAGCTAATAATTCATCCACTTGTTCACCATCTGCTTCTGGATCTATATCAAACTCCTGAAAAGAAGAAAAGAAACTATTCATATGAATAAGCTAAGACTGGTTAGCAGAGTGACAAATTCCAAAGGGATTTTTTTTATACTTCAGGGGTAAATCTCTCTCCTCCCCCCAAACTCCCAGATATTGAAACATGTTTAAGTTATTATTTTCTTTTTAAATTTGACTGTAATTGGTACTACCTACCTCATTAATAGATTTAAGAAGTTTAGCTATAAGTTTACGTAGAGAAGACAGTTTAGATTTGGCGTCATCTGCTTCTTGTTTACGAGATGCAGCCTCTGTTTGGAAATTACTAACAAGCTGAAATAACACACAAGGAATAAAAGATAATGACCTCTGTAGCTGTTATTTGAATACAAGATAACCCCCGACATGAAGATAATAACCCTATCTGTTATTTGAATATAAAATAATCACGTCCACAGCTGTTATTCAAATAAAAATAACGACCTCAGTAGCTGTTATTTGAATATAAGATAATAACCTCTACAGTTGTTATTCAAACAAGCCAACAGTAAGGCTGATGTCCCCTTCCGAAATCCCAAAATAAATAGATGACTATACAACAAGTTTCATCACTCTCACTTTATTACCAGGTAGAACTAAAGTTATCGTGTCCCAAAGCATCAATCAATCAAATTGCTTATCTCTGCTTACCCTAAGCAGAAAATGCTCATCTTCGAACTCCATCAAATGAAATGAAATGGGGTTTAACGTCCTACTGTTCTGCTCCTATACTGGGCTAATGAAGACGGGCATATGCCATACAGTGTGCTATGAGGAAAATTTTGCCCGGGCAGCGGCACTATCAAATTCCAACTACCAGGGGACATTTTACATGCATTCAAATATATATAAATGGGACCTCGGTTTTTCGTATCATCCAAAGGACTAGACAGCTGTCCTTGTCGGGCCCTCCGTTCTGCACCACTGACAAGGGGAAAACCACGTCGGAAAATCCTGATGAAGAACTCCAACAAGGCATTGACCTAATAGACACCTACTCCAAGTTTGAATATTCTAGCTCAATTAGAAAGAGAGTTATTGTGTCCCAAAAAGTGTGACTGACAGACAGACGGACGGACGGACGGACAGAAAGACGTACGAACCCATTTTAATAGTCCCCTGCTTTCTTCGAAAGGCGGGGGACAATAAAAAAATAATAACCTCTGCAGCTGTCTGAATCTAAGATATGAGTTTATTCTGGAAAAGTAAAAGAAAGGCAGAGATTTTTGTTTTATACATGATTTCTTCATGAGTGTACTTTTTATTCGGGATAAATGAATGGTTTATCTCATATGAATTTTCATAAAAAAACAACTATAACTATAAATTGCAATACAACTAGATTAATATGTAGAATAATAACTTCATACCAGCTTATTAGGTAGGTTATTGTAGAATAAAGACCTTTTACACTTCCATATGCAGATTATACCAAGAGGATAACCTCTAAAAATCAAAGCCTCAGATGAATATAAATTGATCAATGCACCTTTAGCATCTTCACAGATACAGAGCTTATTACAGTGTTCTCTACCTGCTCCCGCAGTAGATATTTTTTTATACTACATTAAAATTACATTGCACAATAATAGAACCCAAATACACCTGAAAACATGGAAATACAGGATTTTACAAATCAGTCACAGTGAGATCAAACATGCAACAGTGGTCATAGAACTACCTACCCAAACTGTGTAGCTTAATTATATATGATGACTTACCCGTCTTAAGCCTCGTTCATAATGATCAAAGAAATCATCTAGAGGAAATACAGATAGTTCTTGTGATGACATGGCAGATATAGCATCTTTATCCATTATCCATTGTGGTGGTAGGAAATAACGTAGACATGTTCTTTAATGAAAAAACACATAATCTTTAATAGTCATAAAATCAAAATACATCCCAATTATTACTATAAAGCAAAGAAATGCATTTCACGTTAAATCACTGACAAAAGATGTTACTTGTTTCTGTTAAGGCAGTGGTATAACTCAATTGATTTTCACATTAACAGCTCTTATTTAATTGATCCGAACATAAAATCAATGCTTAAGCTTAGTTATGTTTAAAATTTTAGGTTACATAGATCTATCATTAATAATATATTTGCCCTACCTGTAGCCATTAGCTATTTCATCATTAACTTGTGTATTTTGTGTAGAGGAAGGGGTTGTTGTAGATGATGTCGGAGCTTCAGTTTCTACCACACCATCTTGTGTTTCAGATTCTGGTATAGGTGAGGGAGGGGGTTCACTAGATGATTCTATTAATTTCTGACCATTTTTAGCTATTCTAATCTCTTTACTCTTCTTATCGAACCTATAATAGAAGACAAACAATATTTAAAGACCTGTCATCTATGAGAATATGGTTTCGAATAGGAAAAATAAATTTATAGACTCACACTGCATAACAAGCCCACAATAAATTAAACAAGCCAACACCAAGTTTGGTCATTTCCTTTGAATTAGAAACAGTATTGTGTCCCAAAGTCTCAACCAATGAAATTGCCTATCTTTGTTTGGCCTAAGCAAAAAATGCTCATCATCGAAATCAGTCAGTTCTCTGCTTTCTGAACCACATCCAAGCAATCATCATAGATCTACATGGACTACATGTACCTTAAAATTTGCAAAAAGTTATATAAGACAACATTTCACTGGTAATTTGAATTACACAAAATGTAATTGTACTGTAATCAACTACCGTAACAAGGTCATGCTAAAATTAGGACTTCCTATCATTTCTTTCTTTTTTTTTTTTTTTTTTTTTTGATTTTAGGGTTGTTAAAATGATCATCTTATTGACCAATAATTAACAATACATGATATGGGACCAAAAACTAAACAATTACTTAAAGAAGAGAAGTTTGTATTAACAGTAGGACAAACCACTGCCATATGCTAGATTCATACATTCGGGCATTATAACAAGTGAACAGCACACTTCTCCTATTAAAACACTCATTATACGCTCAAGTTAATCACATTACTGTACCCGCGTTGAAAGACCAGGCTAAGCTGGGAGTCTGTCTTACAACTTGATAATAATAGTATTGTAAAGATGATAGCCTCAAGCTCCAATATTATACTTGATTGTCAAGGGGAGGGGTAGTTGTGTTACCGTTATACTGCTTTCTAGTTTAAAATAAACATGCTCTGATTACAGATGAAGAAAGAAAGACAAGTTTGCTATTAAGTTTACATTAGACTGTAGTTATAATATTACACTATGGTATGAGGATAAAAATCTGTAGTAGTATTAAGTTCTACTAGTGGTGTGAATATTGATTTTAATGTCTAACTACAACATTCTAACTCACATCATGATATTTACATAAAATAAACTTTCCAACCAATCAAATAAACAGTATTCATGTATTAGTTTGGATTTTTAATCAATTCTATATAGAAAAATAATTCATTTGATTAAATAAAATAATAAATTAATCCGATAAATTTTTAATTTCCATCCATTTCTTCCTAAAACCTACTTTCAAATCTAAGTAATTGTGTAAAGAGTATGTCAGAATCCTTTTTTTTTATTATATACGTCACACTAAAAATTAATAAATTGATGAAACAATAAATAAATAAATGAATGAAACAAGCTAATGGGGAGGCTGATGTCCCCCCGCCAAATTGAACAAGTGGTTGCCATGCAAGATACACCCATATTTTAAAAATGACGGACAGAGAACGAACTTAAAAAAAAAAAAGTGATTTTTTGTCCAGGAAGTTTCGGTTGGATATGCTCGAATATTGAAAGGAACTGAGATCTTTTTGATATAAAAATATATTTTAAGTTTCATCAAAATCAGATAAAAATTGTGACTTTTAGAGGGTCCACAACCTTGGTATTACATATTTTACCACTATTTGTGTACAAGGAGCGGCCATTGTGGTGTAACAGTGATATATTTGAACGTTTTTTTTTAAACATCGGATATAATTTCTACCTCTAGAGGGACCACAATTGAAAAATTTGATTTTTCATGCAATCATGTGCCATAATCCAGAAGTCACAGGCCGATATGTACGATTATTGAAAGGAACCACCACCTTTGGTTTATAAACATACATTTCAAGTTTCATCCAAATTGCATAATAATTGTGACCTCTAGATTGCCCACACGCTAAAAACGTGATTTTTCGTACAATCAGGGGCCATAATCCATGAAGTTAAAAGCAACCAAGATCTTTGGGAGATCTATAATTCAAGTCTCGTCAAAATCAGATAAAAATTGTGACCTGTAGAGTGTGTGGACAGACGGAGAGGGGCGATGACAAAATAGTCCACATGAAAATGTGGGCGTATAAAAAGTAATAGCCAAGTTTCACCATTCTCACTCAATTACAATGAAAGTTGTCAAGCTCCAAAGTCTCGACCAATCAACTTGTTCATCATTGAACTTAGTCAAGGTATTGATGTACTGAAACTATACTCCAAGTTTGATGTAATTAATGAAACTATACACCAAGTTTCACTACTCTCAATCAATTGGTATCGAAGTATCATGTCCCAAAACATTGATGCAGAAAATGTTCATTATTGAACTTAGTCAAGGTACTGATGTAATAAAACTACAGCAAATGCTCTTTTACCTTCGAAAGTTGGAGGAAAATAAATAAATAAATAAATAAATACTGGTAAATAAATATTACATATTGGTATTACCCATTCTAAATTTTATTTGCATCAATTAATATTCTAATTGATTGTTCATGCTATCACCAAACTAACAAATATAACAGTTTAATTCTCTCCCCGGTCTTTAAGATCTGATCAAAGAAAAACTTGTCCTCGTGAAGATCATTGTAATCTATCGACAAGACTAGAACTAATCAAGTTGAGAAGAGACAGATTATTAAATTATCATTAATGTTAGTCAAGTCTATAATTTCCTTTAACAAATGACAGAGTTGCCTTATGTCGTTGTGAGGTGATAGTCCCAGTGCTCTGGCTTTTCAATTTCAACCTCGTCTGAGCTTGAAGGGGAACAATTACTTTCAATTAGATTCAAATGATAGCTTTGTGTAAATAAAAGCCATGGATCAAGCTGCCGTCATCCAGCGGGATTTGATCGCTATGTCTTGGTCTTGACAGAAGAATTTACGAGACTGCTAGAAGACGGATCCTTTAAGAAATTCCCTGAGGGAGTGTAAGAAGATCCAGTAAAAGTATTTAAAAGCTATATTACATGGTGGAAGAAATATTGATATCTTGACTATAATTTTAGGACAAGAACAAGTTGCCTGATCATGAATTACCTCTTTAATAATTGTTAATTAAAGATCGTTAAAATTAGATACTCTGTTAATTAATATTTGAAAACTGATTGATACAACTGATTTAAATTAGATTATATCATCTGCATGTATTAATATATTATTTACTTTAATTACAACTAATCTATTGTACATGTTACATTAGTTACATAGGTTGCAATATTTTACACCGAACATGATTTCAGTTCTTAAATTCAACTAAGAAATAAAACAAAAGGTATATCCTACCCCCACTCATGTAGAGTAGTAGGCCATTCTGACAAAAGTACTAAAATATATTTTCATGATTATATTTTTTTCATTTCCTAAAAAGATATTATTTCTGTTAAGTAGAGACTATGCTTCCAAAAAATGTAAGCTATTCTCGATATATTATAAACAAAGCTGACTGACTACACTTTCTAAATAGTGATTATTTTTATAAGCAACTCTGTTAAAATACCAAAATATTTAATTGAATAAATAATTTTTGTTTAATTCTAAAACATAAATCTAATTTTATGTTTTATTTTTAACAATTTGTTACCTACAGAATTAGAGGTTTTAACATTTCAATTGGTATACTTTTATTACAATTCAAACTGTTTTAAATCAAGTTTCTATAGTGGTTGATTAAGATGAAAGGAGATGATGAGGATGTTTAAGATGAATATTGTAATATGAGCCGTAAGATACTATAGATAGAATTGTTTTTAACAGATGGTTAATACCAGTTTAATCTAAAGACAACCAATCATCTAATCTATTTAGCATAACAGGTAGTCTTAATTATAACCATTTAGTTATTTATACATAGCCCTCTACAATTGGGAGGTCTAAAAAACATTTCTCTCAATTTATCAATGAAATTGAAGTGAATACATAAAAGATAGGTTGACAGGCAACAAAACATACGCCCACAGCAGTGACAGCACCCACGTCGTCTGAGCAGGTAAAAAGAGTTGTCACATATATTTTCTTTTGTTGGTAATGAAACATTAATAATACACTAAAATCTGATTAAGAGTAACAACTCATTAAAGGGACTATCCCGATTTTAACAGAGTCTCAAAAATAAAAGTCCGAGTTCGTATGAAATTTAAACGCCAAAATATAGAAACATAGTGTATTTACCCCGTCTCAAAATATTGAGTCATTTGGACGTGAAAATCAAAACTGCTTATCCGGACACGTAACCCTTTTAAGATTTCGGGTCAATTTTTTCGATGGGTGACCTGATAATCGATTCCCGTTCCTTTTGAGGTTTATACAGTGAATGACCCATGTGCTATACTTGATAACGAAAGGTAAATTTCACCTACACATTATTCTTATAAAATAAAAGTCTGGTTTTATCCAGACACTGCATAATACAGCTTGGGACACCGGTCTCCATTTCCAGATGAAGACTGACGGGTTTAAGTTGTTTGAAAACTTATCACTCATATTGAGTTAGTTGCTCGGCCCTAATGTAGAGGATTTTAAGGGATTTTAATACAAAAATAAGCAGTTTTATTCTCGATAATATTATCGGGATTGGCCCTTTAAGTAATTATCAGAAGATCATTAGAATTTGTTTGGCTTTTAGTTCTGCCCCATGTTTACATTTAGTATACAAAACATTTAATATCATGGATTTAGCTATCAAAAACATTGAAAATCAATATACTTGTTCGTCTCAAGACCTTAAACTATGTGTATAAATCTAAAGTCAAGCAAATGATCACTTTGGCCTGTAGAGCATCCACAAGATTTATCAAAGTCATCAAGGGCCACAACTCTGGCAGTAATTATTGGAATTCCTTGAATATATATAGGTGTGTATAAATTTAAAGTCAATCGGATATTAAAGTAGCTAAGTCTCTAACTCAATATCATCCAAAATCTTCAACACTGAAAACACGATTTATTTATCAAACTAAATCAACATTCATGTTGTGATCTTACCGGGAAAAGATGGGCTTTTGATATCCAATATTTAAGACAAAATAAACATTTTACCATCGGTACACGAATCGTGTACCATAATGCGCTTCAGCCCCAGTTGTATCA